TGTCTGGTCTGGTCGCCTAATGGTTGAGCATTGTTCAGGGCAGTTTGGACATGGACTTCTTCTCTCCCAAAATTGATTTCACGATGTATCATGGAACCTGCAGGAAAGGCCATAGGTTTGAAACAAGCTTGCAGCTTTTCCCTTCAACCGAAACCTCAATTGATGCTCTTGGTCCCACCACCTCCCACATCCACTTCCCTTCCCTCCGACCCTCCGACCTTGCGCGCAGCCTCCGACCTCAGGCGGCACGGAGGGATCGTGATTTTGACAAGGCGGACCGCATGCGAGAGGAGCTGAAGGAAATGGGAGTGAGACACCTGGCGGGAGTGAACCAGCAGAGGTGGGTCAGAACCCTAGTTCGACTATCCTAGTTGGGTACTCCTGGTGACGGGTCCTATCTACGGTCACTGGCTACCTCTGTAGGAAGGACGCGAGTGGCCGTTTGTCGGTTGCGTGTTGGAGGGGCGGATGTTTGGGGGGGGTCGGCAGCGCGGATGTTTGGGGGGTTGGCCGTGCGGACGGCTGGTGGGAGGGACATGGGGGGACACGGGAGGAAGACCGTTTTGTGCCAGGATGGTTTTGTGTTCCAACCTTACAGACGCTTCCACAGGCGCAGGTGGCCCCAGATCCAAGAAGGGGCCCAGTCAGATGGTTTTGTTCTGCCTTGGATGTTTGGCTGGAAATCGGATCGACAGAAGAGAGGTTCGAACCGTGCTCCAAGGGTGAACGTCTGAATGCTCGGCCCTTCAGACCGACCATCTTGTCCCTGAAGGTATTTTTCGGCACCTTCGGGTTGGTTCATGGACCATCCGAATCTCTTTCCAGGGGTAAGCTACCAGCAGAGGTGGGTCAGGACCCTAGTTCGACTATCCCATAGGTACCCCAGTAGGGTCCTATAAGGTCACTTAACCTCTGTTGGTATACTTGAAACACTTTGGTTTGATGACACCCAGGGGTCACGTTTGACCAAACCAGCGCGCGCAGGGCGCGTCGCCGTGTCCTGAGGAATAGATGATACTCAACTCACATGGAACGCGCCGGGTGGAATGCGAGGACACTCCCGCATGTGCATGCGCGCGCGCGCGCGCGAGCCGTGGGTTCTGGAGTGGGAGTCGGTGGTATTCTTCGTTCTTGTCTTTCCACCGAAGCTCCACCGGGTCTGTGGCGCTGTGTTGAAGCGGTGTTTTTTTCTTCTTATTATTCAATATATGTTTTAAAACTTTAACATCTGTGACACTCAGTGCCATCCAAGAGACTTGTATTCAACTTTCTGTTTGTGTTTCTACTTCTTCCTGGTTCCCCATCCGCGTTCCATTCCGAGACCCGTCGGTTTAAGAACACAGCGGCACTTCAAAAGGCACCGAGCGGTCCAAGAGCGGGCCGATGATCATGTTGGGGGCAGGGTGCGACAACTTCATATGGTCTTACACTCCCGACAACTAACAGTTAACATGGAACCGGGTCGAATGGCACCCTCAAAGACGGATTTCCTCTACAAACCCAGTGGTTTTCAGGGTCCATGCTATTTTTCAGTGGGGCCTTCTTCCAAATATGCAAACATTCTGCCTCACTTGGCTGTTTTTGATGGATGAAAAAGCAAACAAATCGTCAGAGTTGGAAGATCCAGGCATTTTGTCTTATCATCCCACTGTTTTAAGGACTACCCACCGAATGACATTCCTTCTCAAAAGGTTGGTTCCTATATATAATTGTCACGGAATCTTGCCCCCCCCCCAATCTAGTCTTTGGTGGTTTGACTGGTCCGTACTTCTTTAGCCGAAGGCTGGTAAAAACATGTCCGGCGGCCCCCACGGCACAATGGGTTGTCATGTCAGGCGGTCCACCACTCGTGTCGTAGCGTCCACCTGTCTGGACCCAGCCTCTCTCCCCGGGAGCGCGAGCGCGAAGACGCCCACGGACGTCCCCCGGCGCGGACGATCAGGAGTGGTGAACAATCCGGGTGGGAAAGGTCCCATTGAGAAGCGCGATGGAGACTGGATTTGCCGCAATTGTGGCAAGCTGGTGTTCGCGACCAAGGCCAGGTAGATGGTCACGTCGTGTGGAGGGTCGAGTGGATGGTGTGTGGTGGCCATGGTTGGTAATGCTGAACAGATCGCTCGAGTGAAGTTGCTGAGGTTGTTGGATAGACTGCAGCTCTGGTGGGTGTCTTTTTACTTTATATATATATATATATTATATAATATATATTTCTATTTTTGGTGAGCACTACTCACTACTCTCTCAAGAATTGGTTAACGCCCGTGAGAGGCGAAGCCATCAACTTCCCAATCACACTTCAGTTGTATGTATAGATTCTTCATCCTTCACAGTTCTTGGGCATCCCCCTCTCTTGCTGTTTCGCCCCGATCCCGCGTTCGGCCTCCCTCCCACCTTCGGCTTTGACTCTCTGACTTCCAACCCCCCGCCGGTCAATGACTTCTCGACGTTTCCGTCAGGATGCCTGCTTCTCCTGTGGTACACCCCGCGAGTCCCGTGGCGGCCGCGATGGTGGCCGCGGTGGCGGCCGTTCCCGCCGCGACGACTCCCGCCGCCGCGGGGGCGGTGGAGGCGGACGCCGCGGGGACCGCGAGCGGCGGCGCCGGCGCAGGGACTACGAATCGGAGTACGAGCCTTTGGCGGCGAACGGCCATTTTGGGGTGGCGGGGGGAGGGGGGGAAGAGTCACCTCAGGGGCCTTTTGTTGTGGGGGGGGCTCGATGCATTGAGCCGTGCCAACTTTCTAAAGATTAAGCAGTGTCTTTCTGGCTTGTGCATGGTGACATGGTGGCTGTAAAGGGAGTTTGGGGCTGTCAAGTGCATGGACTGAAGAGGGGTGCAGCCGGATTCGGGAGGAGTGACTACATGTTCTTGGCCACAGCCAACGTATGAAGATGTAGGTGTGTACTGTATAGGTGTGTCATACCTAGGACTGACCTTTACCCTCCTTTACCCATACCTTGCCATACCTGGATCTTCCAACTCTGAAGAATCATGTGCCTTTTCATCCGTAAAAACCAGCCACAAGGTGGCAAAATTGCTAGTTGGAAGATCGGCAGGCATATCACTTCACGTAGCACGAGCAGAACCTGGGGACGCAAGATTTGCCCAAGAGAGTGGGACTGCATCTTCTCCTAAAACCTCACATGCTGTCGATGATAAATCAACATCCTTTTTAGTCTTTTCGTGTTCACGGGGGTTATTTGCACAACTGTCGTTTTTGGTGCATCAGTTGTCCATAGTTGTCCTGCTCTTCCTGCATGACTGTCCTGTGCCAACCTGGGTTCTTCTGGTTAGCCGGCACCCGTGGTGTGTTTGCCCGACACCGCCGCCCGATCACCGTCGCCTTCATCCTTCGGCGTCGCCCGAGGAGTACTCAGACGATGATCGTCGTTGAGAGACCGCGACGAGCCACCTGGCCCGAGCTTAGCGGGTTTTCTGGGAGGTTTCTGGCGCGAACGCGGAGCGGGTTTTCTCTGCCCGGAGTGGGGTCAAGTTGGGTAAGACTTGGATGTGGAGGGTTTTTGCAAGTGAATCTTGGGATCCTTGCAAGGCAATCTCACTCACGCTCTTGATCTCCAAGATGGTAGACCTGGGTGTGGCAAAAAACCATGAGATCCAGGTGGACGATTTTTCCTTCAAAGGACATGAAGGTCGATCTTGTCAAACCAATTGCTGCTAAGCACCCAGATTTGGTGGACAGTTGCCGTGGTTCTTAATCGTCAGTTGCCAGCTAGCTGGTTTGAAAGACGCAAGTGCTGCATTGATGCGAACGTTGGTGGCTCAGCGCTGAGGATCGGTCGAAATCTTGCAATCTTGAAGCTGTACTGAGGGATGCTCCGGAGTTAGCATAGAATGTCCACTATAAAGAAACTCAGGTGCCCATGGAATTGCGAGCCGCTTGGTAACAATAAAAAAGTAGCAGCTGGGGCTGACATCAGATCGAACATCGCTGCCCAGGAAAAAGAGAAGCCGCCCGCCTTTTGGTTCAAGCCTCTTGTTGTGTGAAGACACCAGACGTTCCAAGACTGCCAGCAGAGGTGGGTCAGAACCCCAAAATCGGACTCTCCCAGTTGGCTACCCTCCAGGCGGACCGGGATAGGGCAGGTGTTCCGGGTCCTAACGTCCTAGTAGTTTAGGTCATCTTGGCGACCTCTCTTAGCATATTTCTGGACACCCAGGGGTTGAGAGTTGAGAGGAGTGGCTCCCTCGTTTTTTTGTGACACCTGGCCTTCTAAACGGATCTTTGTGAGGAACTGACTTGCTCAGGAAGCTGAAGTGTCTGCTGCCATCCGCTGCCATCTGCAGCCATCGAAAGTGGCATCGAAACTGAAGGAGACGTGCCAGGCACCTGCAACGGTTTAACCGAAGAGGTGCCAGCCAAAAAGAACCGAGCAAACCAGAGTGCTTCCAGAGCCCCGGAGCCGCGACGTCAGTGCAACTCCCTGCAACTCCGTCAGTGCAAGTCACCACGAGTCACTCCATGTGATGCTGATTTCCATCGGGTGATGGGGTACTTGTTGCAAGACAAGGGGGCCCACTGAGTCGGTACCAATATGAAGAAGCTACTTACCACATAAGTCCTTGTTGGATTCGTGGGTGGGTCCTGTGTGTTTTCAGACCGGCGATCAGCGATCAGATCGTGTGATCTTGTTTGGGCGTTCGTTTTTCTGACCGGAGGCCCCGTGCCCTAGCTGAAGACTTCAGTGCGCCAACGGTTCTTCCTTGGTTGGGGGGGCTCACCTGCAGTAAACAGTGAAGGTGTTCAACACTTTTAGCACAGATGAAGCCCAAAACCCTGAGACTCACTAAAGTGGAAGTTGAAAAACACTTCATGGGTAAAGAGAGTAGCCTCTCCATCCAACCAGAAAGTTGGTGAGTCACTGTGATCGGCTTTGCCCTGCGGCTTTGAGCCAACCCCATCCGTGTAACAGCTGTTCCCTAGCCTTTCAAAAAGACCATTAAGAACGGTTGACCTACCTACTCTAGTACTTCGCTTGTGCCATGGCGGATTTGGAGAGCGAGAAGAGTGCTGGGCAGTGGGGGGGCCAAGGGCCTCTCTGGCACCAGAGGAAGTTGAACTCGCGGATGGAGTGGACCATGAAAGACACCAGAGGAGATGCATGAAGACTCCTAAAGCCTTTGAACTTCCATGTGAGCTTCTGAAGGCCGTGGGGGCTGGGGTCAGTCAGGGCCTTTGGCACCCTCGCACTGCCGGTTTTGTCTGCGGACTAAGGCCCTCCGCGGCAGAGCAGCAGCCAGAGGACTCCACTGTGCCGGAGGTGTGGCGAGCAAACAGGGGGAGGAAATGGAGAAAGGGGGCACGTGCGGGCAGGGTGTTTGCCACTGTCAGAGCCTCTAGTCGCGGAGCGCGCTACTAGATCAGTTACTAAATATCAGTTCCTGTAACATGTTCTCGAAGCTTCATGTAAAGCGCTGGGATATGAGCTGCATGAAAGACGGGATGCCAGAACCAAGGACGGCCGGGGTGGCATCCATCTGAGCTGCAAGGCCTTCAGAGGCAGGGGGGTTGTTGCTCTGGCGGACTTGTAAGGTAGACTCTTGATCATATGTCAACCCCCTATACGAAGAGCTTTTACAATCCGCATGGTTTCTTGTTACTTGTAGTGCAGAGTGTGCCATATCTTGTTACATGACTTCTTACTTTTGCACGACTTGACTCGTGTGACTTGCTCGTCGCTCTTCAAGCCCGCCTCACGTCGATGTTCCACGTCGCAGCGGCGACGTGCGCCGACACACGCAGGGCAAGAGCCACACGCGCTACAAGAGTGGCTGGCGGAGGTGAGGTTCCACGGGCACGATGGGCACCCAACGCGCGTGTTTTCGGACAACGCGTGCGGTGGGCGGAACACCAACGCGTGGCGTGCGGAAGAGACGCGGGGGGCAAAGACTGGTGAAGAGATGATCTCTGTTTTTCAACCCAGCGAGGTTTTTTGAGACCTGAACGAGGAGCCGACCTTAGTGGTACATATGGGATGGGCGATATAAAGGGCCGTTCAACCTCCCTGCGGCTGGACCTTTGGTCAGATGCCCCTCACAAACTTAGTGATGTTCCGGTGACTAGCTAGGTGGTCTCGGATATTTTTATTTTCAACCCTCCTGGCATTGGCTTGTGTGCTCGCCTTTAGCTAACGGCTAAACTCTTGAGAGGGCGATGGAGAAGAAGAACCCTGACTTGGGGGGGATCGGACCCTCTGACAACGCCCACCAGCTAGAGTCTACGGGTATGATTCACCTCCCCGTCAACTGGTTGGAAAAACATACCTCCGGTGGCCACTGCTAGCACCTGGTGGAGGCTGCTAGCAGCTAGCTAGCACTTTGGCTCGGCTGAGCACCGGAAACGGGCACTAACCCAACGACATTCCCAGGGGTACTTGATTGACCTCCTTTGAGGTGGGGACATGGATGTTCGTTCACGAAGTTTGTGGCTCAGAAGGCGCTGAACGTAGGTACGCCGTAGGTACGCCCTACCAGGGGCCCACAAACCATCAAAAACCTGGTTTTCCCTAGCAAAAAATTTGGTTTTTGTATGTGAAAACCTTTGTTTTTCATGGTTTTGAGGCCCCTTGGTAGGACTATGTAGGACTCAAGAACAGACTCACAACTTGGGGTGGAATGGATGGAATCGACACCTCCAACCTTGAAGCAATTCATTTTGCGTTTGTGTGGCATGTTTCGTCCTTGCTTCCTCAGCATCGTCGCTGCTCTTTACGCATCACTCGCAGTGTTCGCATGCAGGCTGGGATGCCCAATGTGCGGGTGCGGAAGAAGAAGCCGTGGCACTATGCCTTTGTGACCTTGGAGGATGAGACGAAGCTCAAGGAGCAAGAACTGTTCTTCAAGAAGGCCAAAGTTCAGGCCCAGACTGGTGTGCGATGACAGGTGGCCGTGGGTTGAAGCCGACCTTTTGACATGGAAGTTGCGTTGCGCTGTAAAACTCGCCGACATGGAAGTGGGCTCCACCTGTTTGTAGAGGAAAGTCGTTCTCCAATGGCCAATAACTACCATTCCGTCCACTGCCATGTTAGCCAACCAAGCATGCGCTTTTCCGACAGGAATCAGCGATTTTTTCATGGTCCGGGCCATGTAGAAGCCTACCTGCTCGGCAGGTGCACCAATGCATTGGCCATTGTTCCAGCTTTCAATGCGCAGAATTCACACGGTTTGCTCCGGAACGTCTAACTTGCTGGATAGTCTTTCGACTACGTGCTTTCTACCTTGGGTTTGGCTTGGCATGCAGGTCAATGCCCGGCAAGCAGCCAAAGGTGCAGGGGACCCCAGTCGGGTCAGATGTGCAACGGGGGATGTGCGGAAGACCTTCATTTTGCGAGGGCGACGTCATCCCTTTTCGAAGCAGAGAAGCAAGGAGCTGGGAGTGTCCGAGCCACTGGCCAGCTTGTTTTCTGGTTGAAGGGTCAGACATCTGCCCACACACACACACACACACACCAGGTGGTTTCCATGTGAGGATTGTCTACCAGCACCCTCACTGCCAGGCTGTTCGTTGAGGGTTGTTGGATGACCTGTAGAGTCGGGTGCTGGTATGGTTTGGGTCGGCCTCGTTTAGGTTCTGGGGCCCTATCTCATCCCGCTGACCATCGGTCGCTAGAGATTTGGTGCGTCACCGCTGACTGCGTCAAGCCTGATTGGAGTAGAAGCCTGCTGACTGAGTTAGTGCATGCCCTGTTCTGATGACTGATGAGGCATTCCTTCTTCACCACTTTTGGACAAGACCCGAGAGAGGTTGAGGGACCTGAACTAGGACCCTGTAGTACCTGTAGTGGTACATATGGGATGGGCTATATATTTCAACCTTTCCAGGTCCCGGCCTCCGTTGTGGCGTTGATGAAGGGTCGCCGCTGGGGCACAGCAGGGCCGGCCCGGCAGCAAGCAGCGGCAAGGCTGGCAAGAAGCGGCCCGCGGAGGAAGATCCGCCGGGGGGCTCGATCAGGAGGGCAACAGCTCTATATAATATATAGTTCTTGTGATGGGAGGATCTGAAGGGTCTGGAATCTAGAGTTCTTGGATCTGAAGTAACTTTGGGTTGGGGGTTGTCCAATCACGTGGCTAACCAAGTATCACATATTATCACTATCTTAGAGAAAGACCTTTTACTAACCATCATCATCCACTCTCACAGGGGTTGGGATACACCCCACATGTTGGAATGTTTGGCCAGGTCAGAAACCCCAAACACCCCATTCTCTCGGAGACACCTGCCGTTTGCACGCGCCCGGGTCGCGTGCGCCAAGTCTTCAGGAATGGGCCCAGCAAAAAGCTGAAGGCCGAAGAGAAGATCCCGGTGCTCAAGGAGCTGAGGCGCCGGGGTGGAGAGCAGCTGGCGGATTTTGGGCTCCAGATTCTTGGTGGTGGCGACCCTCCATGCTCAAAGAGAGCGGACCCCGGGGTTATATACCCTGGGAGTCCAGTCGACTATTTTCAGAACGGTTTGACTAGGTAAGCCGAAGCTTGGAATTCCTTGACCTCTTTGTGGTCAAACTCGGTTTCTAGGGTCAACTTTTGGAGGAATTTAGGCTCTTGTTCTAGGTCGCAGCTGGCCGTGAAACTCCAGTACCGTCCTCCCAACGCTGACAGGGAGCGCATCAAAGGTTCGAAGAAGAGCTTCGATGGCGATGCGTTGGAGAAGAGCGCCCCACTCATGAAGCTACTTGACAGCTTCAAGCGTGGGATAGCTTGGAAGGAAGCTTTCATGCATGAGAGAGTTCCTTTTTTTTTTAAAGAAAGGGGATCTTGCTCTTGCCCCTTCCTTCCCCCCCCCACTTGGGAGCCTATGGACCTGCATGGCATGGACGAATTCCCGATTCCTGGGGAGCCCAGACCCGAAGAAACGTTGAACATCACAGCCCCCAAGCCATCGCCCACCCCATCGCCCATCTACCACTACAGCCCTACGGGGTCTGAGCCGTTCAGGTCTCAAAAAAGCCCTCTCTCTCCAAGTGATGCCGGGAACCTCCTAACACGTCCCTTCTTCGGTCCAGTCTTCGGTCTTGGACCTCCAAAAAGGGCCTCCACCCGAAAAAAATCGCGTCCCGTCCGGTGCGCCGAAACCGAAGAGAGCCAGAAGGAGACGCGAGCGAGACGTCCTAGGTGGGACTACAAGACACAGCTGCAGATGAAGGCTCCCTGGCCCTGGGCTGGGTAGACAAGTCTAGTGCTGGAACGCCGGGAGGGCCTCCCCTTATTTGTAATGCACACCCATTTGGAACAACATATGCGTTATATGAGCATTAGATGTAGCATGACCCGGGCCACCCACCCCAACAAAAGAACCAACACTTCCGCAGGTTGCCTGCCCCTTCCACAGTCCAACACCACCCTCCAAGCTGAACCCCCTTTCCATCCAAGCACGAACACCTTCTCCCCCGCGCGCAACAACCGATTGGCCTCGCCACTGGCCACGCCCCACCAGCATGCACCCACACCGAACCCCACCAGCATGCACCCGGCGACGCACCGGCGTGCGGAGCGCCGTCCGCGGGCGCAGCACGGCTACGTGAAGACGGCGGTGCGCTCCATCACGAAGCTGGCGCAGAAGCGCTGCGAGAAGTTGGGGCGCGCGCCGCCGAGCTGGTGCTCCAAGGCGGTCCGCGGCCCGGGCTCGCTCGGTCCGGTGAGTGGGGTGTGGGGAGTTGTGCGGGTGGGGGCCCCGGGCTGCGGTTGGAGTATGGGCGGACGCGGGCGGAAGTGGGTGAATCTCTGTGAGGTTTGAGTGGTGTTTGCCGGAGTGATGGTTTGAGAATCAGCTGTTTGTGAGTTTGCGAGGTCTAGGTAGTTCTCCCTTCAGCCAGCCCAGTCCTCCAAGATGAATGCTTGACCCTTGGTCCAAGTTGAGGGGAGGGCTGCTGCTCTCCGCATCGATCAAGTCACGGTTAAGCAGTTGATAGCAGTTTGTTATACTGGCTTGGCGGAGATTGCTGTCCCGCGGTGTTCTCCACCACGTCCGACGCTCTCGGCAGGAATGGTCTCTGGCCAGTGGCGCGCCGCAAGGCTGTTGCTGCCAAGGGCTCAGATAGCCTTAAGGGGCAATTGGTTGCGACCTGCTGTGGTTCTGCTTGAGCACGCAACGACCTCAGTTGGGAGGCAAAGGACTAACATGCAACAGTAGCCAGCCATGATGGCCAAAAGAAGCGCCACAAGCACAACGAGCAGCCAAAATACTGAGAGGGGGTCTTCGGCCTTTTTTCGGCTTGGCCGTTTTACTTTTTCTCCCTCTCCGGTGTAGTACAGCAGGCCGCACCCTGCAAGTGGGCTGCTGCACCAGCAGCTCCGCAGACTCTTCCTCGGGTGTTCGCAGAACTGAGGCCCTTTGGACCCGCCCATCGGTGCGCCGGAGGGAACCTTGAGGTGGGACGGAGGGAGGGTCTTGTGGTGGAGGTGTCTGGCCCAGGCCGGGCCGTTTGGTGGACGGTTCTGTTTTGGGGTGCTGGTCCTTGGTCCCAGGTGTGGGACCTCCAAACTCGGGATTTGGTGTCGAGAGTGTTTTGTTGGAGAGGTGGGGGGGCCAGGGTAGCTGACAATTCCTAGCCCGCAGGGAGCTCCAAGTGCCCTTCGTTTTGAAGGTGCCTAAACTTAAACACTGAGGAGGTACAACTGGAGCCCCAGGGTAAGAACCTTCGTCTTTCCGGCGAGTCGGGCGGGCTTTGGATCTCGTCGTTTTCTTCACGCGATTACGCCTCCGCGCGGGCCTCCGCTTTGCTCAGCCAGACCTGGTGGGAGCCGGGTCCTGTGAGGCCTTAGGTGGGCGATCCATGTAGTCCCCCAAAATCTTCAAGGAGGTTTTCGCATTGGTCAAGAGGCCTCAGCAGCTCCTCAAAGACGACCATGACTTGCAAAAACCCTAAGCCCTAAGTGTATCAGTGCTACTTGGGGTCCTGTGGACTGGCTTGAGGGCTTAGCAGCTGCGGAGCCGGCCATGTTGCTGTGAGACGATGGGTAAGGAGGCGTTGATTTGGGAGTGGAGGGTGGAGCAGGAGGGAGCGATGTCTTCCGTGTTGGTGGATGTTCCAGAAGCCGCGGTGTTCCCTGGGCTCATCCGTGGAGATGAGCCAAGGCCCTTTTAGGCTTTGTTGATCTGAGGATGTATCTAAGGCACTCTTGTCAAAAGGCCAGGAGGATCACCAAACCTTCAACTTGTGTATCTATGCGGCATGCGTCCGTCTCACCAATTGGTTGGCGATGTCGCACAATCTCACAGAACTTCTATAGCCATCATGATTGGCTTGATCAATCCTAACTATAGAACTATATACATGCCCCCCTCAAACAATCATGGAAGCTGCGCAGGCCTCACTTGTAGAGGAAAATAATCTTCCAGGGGCCTATGTTCCACTTCCATGATTGTTTCAGGGAGTGTAATTCATAATTCTATATACGCAGGTTATTTACACGCTAATACATTACATCTTCCAGCACCGCCCCGAAAAGATGGTCCTTGGATGGTACATGGTCCGACATGCCGCGTCCAACCACCCGAATCTTTCCAACCGCAGCACCTCTGTTCATTCAACATTCTTTACAGCATGGAATGCCAGCAGAGGTGGGTCAGAACCCTAGTTTGGACTACCCAAGAAGGTATCCCTGGTTTTCCGGGTCCTATGGTCCCGGTCACTTGACCTCGGTATGTGTCGTTCTTCAGGGGGGGTCCCTGTCTCAAACCTCCCCCACCTCCCCCAGCCAGTCCGCGCCCGCTCGCCTCAGCCCGCAGCCCGGCAGGACAGGGTCTCTGCGATCGGCTCCGACTGCGCGGCGCCGCCCTCGGCCTTCGAGCAGTGAGATCGGTGGTGGGCGTCGTTCACCCCGTCCTCCCTGTGTGGGCTGTGTGGGGTTCGGTCCGGTCGATCGTTGGAGGGCCTTCGGGGTCCACTCAGATTGGGGGGGATCTGGACAGAGGGACAGAGGGACCGAGTGCTGCCCTCGTGAGGGCGGATGCGAGATCGCTTCCACCCAGTTGGAGCAATCGTCTTTTTTCCGTTTCATTAAGCCTTCCGGTTTGGGGAGGCGATCTGAGTGTTGCCCCGCCGGTGGTTTTTTTGCCAGCTAGGTGACGGCGAGATGGACAGCGCCTCGGGTCCAGTCATGTCTGATGAGATGGATGCTTAAGCTGGAGGTTTCTTCTCCCCAAGCCAGAATCCCCAGAGGGGTTGCTGGTGTAGAAGTGATTCTGTTCAGATGGATTTTGAGTTGGGAGGGGTCTAGTTTAGACAGGACATGTCCTAGCAAAAGATCCTTTCTACACTGACTGTACGTGTTTCTTGTCCGACATCCTTGATAATTGCATGTTCTCTTCCTTTTTCGGGCGGGATAGCGCGCAGAAGTCGGCAAGTCCCCAGTGGCTTGACGAATTCCCAGGCCCCATGCCTGTGTGACTTGGGTTTCAAACTTGGTGGGGTGGGATGGGAGGGAAGGAGGGTGGTTAAGCAGGAGTGGCATCGGTGAGCTCATCCTGTTTAAAGCATGCCACTCTTTTTCACGGGCGGTGTATTCGCCAGTGCGCGAACGGATGATTTGTGCGAGGTTGGGTGCAAGTTAGGATGTGCATGGATGATATGTTCATTTTGGTTCAGATCATCTTGGCGGAAAATCCAGAACATCAACTCCACGTGGCAAGCTGCATGGGTTCACGTGCGTCTGTCGTGACGTTCTGTCCCCCTTGCGCCACCTTTGACTGAGGTAGCAGGTATGGTCGGTATAGTCGACTCTAGACTTGCAAGATCGTCGATTGCAAGAACATGGTTGACGTGGTTTTGTGGTGTAACTTCCTAAGTAAGACACTGGTGCTTCGTGATTCCGCCTACTCAAATGCATGGTGAGCCAGTGATGCCAGGCCCACTAGAAAGACCCACCTGACCAAGCTGCTCCACTGCTTTTGAGGCTTCGCGGAGCCGACCACGATCCGACTGCGCTTCTTCAACTTCAACATGGCCAACATGGCTCCGCGTCCGATCGCGGTCCGATCGCCGCAGCGGTGACGCCCTGCGGGTGTCGGGGGGGGGAGACCATCGAACCGGAACACCCGGCGCGGTCTGCAGGCCCTGGACCACGAGCAAAGCCGTCCGCCGCGAACGCGCACGCGACGGGGTCGGAGAAGCCGCCAGTTCCTGAAGGACAACCTTCTTTTTTTTGTCCTCCATTGGGAGTCCGGGACCGTGGACAGCCCATGGGAAAGCCCTGATATTGTAATGTAAAGTCCTTAGTGCAGCAAGGGTGGTTCGAGATTCAGCCTGTGAAATCTAATGGTGGTTGGAATCCTTAGGCCCTCCACTTGCGCAGAAGCCTTCCACTTGCTTGCATGCCCGAGCTCAGGCTGCTCTTGATCCCTTTGTGGGAATGTCTCTTGGCCGGACCGGGTATGGCGTGCGGCGGAAGGGCATCGCACAACGGGGGAGCTCCCATTCCTTCAATCCTAGTCTGCGTGGCACATAAAACAATTAAACATCTCGCCGCCGCTGGTATAACATCTTGGTGAGCAAGCATCTAAACTAAGACATCGGCAGTTTGGGATGTGCACCCCCCCAAAACTGTCAGACCTTCTGTCCCACCGCGAACGGCCCCAACCTTCGCCGAACGCCTGGCAGACGCGCGCGCCTTGGCGCAGGCGCCAGGCAGACGCCCCCCCTCCGCCTGGATTGGCCGCCGGTCCGCGGCCCAGGCTGGGGCAGTTCTTGGCGAAGCCCTTCGCGGACGCCAAGAAGGTGGACGCCACCTTCGTTGCCTTGACGGAGGCGGGATCCCGTGGAGCTTGCGGCGGCTCTGAGCGGCTGAAGAGGGGTCTGGGTGGGTCAGCACGGGGTGCGCTACTAGCGACATGTTTTGGGGCTTTGTGGTCAGGTGGGGAGGACCATCCTAGCTCCTAGCTTGAAAAAGGGTGGGAGTCTTTGCCCTAGCCTTCAGTTCGACCATGTTAAAAAAGGGTTGAGCTGGATTTTGTAGTCTAATGCAACTCGGTGGTGGTTGTTGTTGAAACCAATGGGTACGGCATCTGAAGGAAAATAATTTTGACAGCCTGGATAGTGACCCTACCTAACAATGACCAGTGATGTTGTTGGAATGTCAGAGTTCATATATTGTTCACCTTAGGGTTCACACACACATAATCACACACACACATATATATATATATACATATATTATATACCAGCAGTCACAAAAGGGCGCTTAATGGAAGTTATAGGGGTGCCCATTATCCTCTCACTTAAAAAAACGCAACACAACCCCTTTGTGACTGCTGGTGCGTATCTTGTTCATGGCTTCATATTTTCTTCACATACTATACTATGTCGAAGGTCGAAAAAGAGCAGCCGACCCTCGGTGCTTGGACCAACCTCCCGAGCCGACCCGTTCCGTCCGAGCGGAGTCAAGTCGTCTCGGATGACGCGGTCGACCGAGGCCCGCTTCAAGATGCGGGACTTCGTGCAAGACCAGCTGGGCGACTGGCGTCACAATGTGCCAGCGTCTGGCATGGACTGCCGGGAAAGTCGGGGGGGGTGTTGTGTTTCGTGGTGCGGGTGGGAGGGGCTTGCTTTTGGTGTTTGTTTCTGGATCTTCCGGGTTTTAGACACCTCGGTTTTTTCAAGAAGAAGGTCCTTCGAAGCCTTGGAAGAAGAAGGGTTGAGTTGACGGACATTGATTTTAGACACCAGATGCTCCAGGAAGAAGGTCCTTCTCTACTAATATTCCACTCCTTTTTTAGGGAGGGTGGATTTGGATTCATGATTTTCGCTCGAGGCTGTGTTGAAGTGTTCTGAATGCGGGAGAAGCCCTAGAAGTGAAAGACTCCAAGACCATTACAAGAAAGGTTGACGATGCTTTAAGTAGTAAGTAGTCTAAGACCCTGAGTGAAACAATGCTTGTTCGGTAAAAACCATTACAGAGGTTTCAGGGTCCATTTGCTCTGAAACCACTGCTTGTTTGAGTTCAAGGGTGGATTTGCAGTGCTGATTCCTGGACACTGAACCTGATTCGACGCGTCGGGAAATTTGTGTCGAACAGCTTCCACTGGCGCTTCCGGTGACTAGAATCCCTTCAGATTCAGACAGCCATTGTTTGACTAAGGATATGTTGCACGGTAAAACTTAGGTCAACCATTTTAACAAAGGTCTTGGAAAGCTAGATTGATCCACTTTCAACACCCTTCTGCCGCACGATCTGCCTCCTGGCAGCCGCCATGGCGGCTTTGCCCGGCCACGGCGCGTCAGGACACCTTGCTCCATCGAGACGCGCTCAAGAAGAATCCCACGGCGTGGCGTGGGCCGAGTTCGTTTCGTCGACACGGCGGAGAAGCAGGGCCGCGGGCCGAACACACACTCCCGGATGAAAGAAAGGGGGTTTATCAATCCTTATGTTGG